TCCTAGCGTTGGTTACGTCTCTTTATGAAGTCAAAACAAGCTCAGTGGTTCTTCCAGTATAGATGTTTAGCAACGCTTCGAGAAGCCCTTATTATCTGTTAAACATCGCTACCCCATTTTTTGAAAAGCCCTTATTGTCTCTCGAACATCGTTACCTCAATCCAAACTTTATCATTCTTAGACCAATATGACTGGCTTAGCCGGTAATCCCATTTTTTAAAATTCAGAATCGCTTTATATGCTTCGAATAGTTTTCCCCGTGCTGTTGGTGCATTTGCCATCGTTTTCCTTCCACTCAGTTTTGAGCTGAAAGCGATCATGCTATTCCACTTGGGCTTTCCACGTCACGGGTGGCAACCTTGCCCTTGTTCGTGGATTGTTCTTATTAGGTGAGTACAGCACAGTATTTTGGTTTAGTAGCATTGGTTATGCAAAAATAGCTAAATTGTATTATAAGGGCAAAGAAAAGGAGAACGATCTTCGTAAGTTTGTTGAAATTTTTTACTTCTTTCTGGTTATACATTTGTCCACGGTCTTTCCCCTGCTACGCTTCCTCACCACAACTTCTGAATATTGAAGCAATAGAGACCCAGTTGCAGTTTATTGAGAATTGTAATGGAAATGGTCTTCTAGGCGATACATCATTATCACTGATACTACGTGGCCTTGCGAAGTCAGTCAAAGCCAAAAATATCAAAGATTGGCTCAGTCCAATCAAGCTAAAGGGCGTAAAAATTGTACGCGATGATTTGGAAGCCGCCGCCTTCGTCAGCTTTTTCCAGTTGTCAGATGCGAAGAAAGCTCTTCGACACAACGGACAATTCCTTGGTGGATTTAAGGTGATTTTGCTCTAAAGATTCTTTTTTTTCCAGAAATAATTCACTGGAGAGGAGGTGATGTGTTAAAAGATTAAACCTGGCGAATTGTAGCTGTTCAAATTATTAACATTTTTCAACAAAAAGTTGGGCCATGATAATGTTCGGGAAAGAAAACTTTTCATATCATGCAGAGAAAAAGCACTGAAAATAAATTAGGACTGGGAAAAGGGAGAGAGCCGATGAAGGATATAAGGCGTAGCCAAAGAAGTGATGAAATCGGGTGCGATTACACAAAATTACATTTAAAGCCGAAAAATGAATTCAGAAACCTTCGTGAAAATCTTTCCTCAAATCAAATGCAACATAGATCTAGAGTGATTCAAATGAAGCGGTTTTCCTCAGAAAGCGCCAGCGGTTTCTTTACTGGTTATGTACAACAAAAATATAATTTGTCAGATTTTCTTTAGATGCTGCATACGTGATTTACTCTTTCCTTTTCCTAAATAAATGCGAAACCAGTTATGACTTTCCACACGTGTTTGAAACGCTCCACAGTAGCAAACAAAAACACATACATGTGAAGTAGTTCTCTTTTTTCAGATAGAAGTAATGAAAGTACCGGATGATTTCGGTTCCGAAAATCAACCGAACGGTTTCGAGCACGAGGCGAGCGAATCGGAGATTGAAGCTG